TCGAGGACCTTCACATCCTTCTCAAACGCTGGGGCCCAGCACTGCACACAGTACTCCAGGTGAGGCCACACCAATGCTAAATACAGCGGGACAATCCCCTCTCTTGACGCTGGTTCTCCTGTGTTTGATGCCCCCCAGGATGTGGTTTGCCCTCTCGGCTGCCAGGGCACACCACTGGCTCCTGTTGAGCCTGCTGCTGACCAGCACGCCCAGATCCCTTTCTGCAGGGCTGCTCTTCAGCCACTCCTCTCCCAGATCAGACTTTGTGCCCAGCGTTACTCCCTCCCAGGTGCTGAATCCGGCATTTGGACTAGTTCAATTTCATCCCTGCAATCATTGCCTAATGCTCCCATCTATCTAGATCCCTCTGCAAGGCCCCTTGTCCCTCAAGAGAGTCAACAGCACCTCCCAGTTTGGTATCGCCAGCAAGCTTGCTAATGGGGCATTCAACTCCTGCATCCAGATCAGGAATCAAAATATTGAACAGCACTGGCCCTAGGCTTGAGTCCTGAGGAACACCACTGGTGACGGGTCACCAGCCAGATGTAGCCCCTTTCACTACAACCCTTTGAGCCCTGCCGTCCAGCCGGTTCTTCACCCAGCGCCCCGTCAACCCACTCATCTCACAGTTGGACACCTTGTCCAGAAGGATGCTGTGAGAGACAGTATCAAAAGCCTTACTAAAATCCAGAAGAACTACATCCACCGCCTTCCCTCCATCCACTGGGTGGGGGACCTTATCGTAGAAGGATATCAAATTGATTAAACAGGACTTTCCCTTTGTGAACCCATGTTGACTGTGCCTGACGATTGCATTATTCTTTAAATGCCTTTCAATAGCACCCAGTATAATCTTCTCCATAATTTTTCCAGGAACTGAGGTTAGACTCTGTCCTGGTTTTGGCTGGGATAGAGTTAATTTCCTTCCTAGTAGCTGGTACAGTGCTGTGTATTGGATTTAGGATGAGAACAATATTGACAACACATCAATGTTTTAGCTGTTGCTAAGTAGTGCTTATGCTAGTCAAGGACTTTTCAGCTTCCCGTGCTCTACCGACTGAG